TGTAGAGTATATATGATATTATTATTATTATTGTTCTGTAAGATTCTAACGAAATACCTACGTACCAAAACTTTCAACGCCTCAAGCTATAACTACCCCCTACATGTCCGAATTAAATCTCACCCCCACCCCTCAAATACTCCCCACTCCCCCTCACTCTTTCTCCTCGTCAAATGTCCTAATTCTCTCAGGCTGCCCCTCCAATTATATTTCAACCAAATCAATTTATTTGCCTTAAATGCATTATTGGACTTAATAACTCGTCAACATCTTTCTGATACAGGGTGTCCCAAAACACGGGGATTTCTATTTTTATTGGGACACCATGTATGATTATTAATGGGATTGTTAACGTTATTTCAAGTGGCATTCTATTTATAAATTTGTCTAATCGAGGAAGAACGAATTGCTTATTTTTATGATTGAACTGAATATTAAATTGTGGTTTTATTGTTAAAGACAATGAAGGAAACTGTAAGAATTCAACACTTTTTAAGAAAGTAAAACGACAATATCTCCATCGTTGTTACTTAGATAAGAAGTTTAAAGGGTAGTAGTGAAGGATATGAATGTCCACTTGAAATTAAGTCTTAAATCCCTTTAAAGAATCCAAAAATAAGATTTAATTTGATTGCTTAAAAATTGTCAATTAACTTTTGAAATGTTTCAGCCTTAAGAGCATTCAATATTTTTGGGCGTACAATAGGCATTCTGTAGAGAACATGTTTATTCTATATAGTGGGCGCAACAATACCCGGCCATAGAGTAGATTTTTGCCAAAACATTATTAGATTTGACAGAAACTAGGAATAAGGAGGAAATGTTTTTAGATTTACAGTTTCCGCATCAGGGTTAGTTGGCAGGTAGGATAAGATAGAAGCAGAGGGAAGGAAATGTAGGAATAGGAGCCAGGGGGAAGGATTGGTAGGAATAGGAGATAGTGACAGGAAGTAATAGTTGGTAGAGGGAAGGAATGGTAGGAATAAGAGCTAATGGGAAGGAATAGGAGCCAGGGGGAAGGATTGGTAGGAATAGGGGATAGTGAAAGGAAGTAATAGTTGGTAGAGGGAAGGAATGGTAGGAATAAGAGCTAAGGGGAAGGAATAGGAGCTAAAGGGAAGGAATGAAAGGAAAAGTCACTCGAAGGAAGGAATAGGAACTAGGGGGAAGGAAGGAACCTAATGGGAAGGAATATGAACTAGGGGGAAGGTAGGGTAGTAATAGGAGCTAGTGGGAAGGAAAGGGCAGGAATAGAAGCTAGATTAAATGAAAGGTAAGAATAGGAGCTAGTGGGAAGGGTAGGCTTGGGGGAAGGAATAGGAGTTAACGGGAAGGGTAGGAATAGGAGCTAGTGAGAAGGGTAGGAATAGGAGCTAGTGGGAAGGGCAGGGACAGAAGCTAGAATGAAGGAAGGGTAGGAATAGGAGCTAGGAGGAAGGAAGGGTAGGAATAGGAGCTAGGAGGAAGGAAGGGTAAGAATAGGAGCTAGGAGGAAGGCAGGGTAAGAATAGGAGCTAGGAGGATAGTAAGTATAAAAGAACATGTTAAGACACAGCTTCCAAGTAATGATTTATAACGCTAACTTTTTAATCTTCATTCTAACAAGAATGAGAAAGATGAGAAAGAGAAGTGTTAAACTCTGTTGAAAAATAACGCAAATCACTTTTCTGGAGAGAAAGCACAATTGATCAATTAACTAGAAAACAAGGATATCTCATTCATTTTTTATCAAAAAAAGATTTGTAGGGTCCCGTTGTAAATCATACATGCCACTCTAAGAATTAAGATCACTTGAAATCATGTATACAGTCCCTTTAAAGAGATCTAGTTCTGTTTACTGTATATAATATATATCTCCTCCCACCAATTATCCATAACAAGATAACAAGATATCCTATTCTAGAATCTGACAGCAGATATTAGTCCAGTAGGTTGGTTGGTCAGGACACGCCCAGTTTCACCTTCTTCAAGTTATCAGTTAATTACAGGGTGTGCCAGAATATTTACAAGTACAAGGAGACCCACAAAAGATAATATAAGATCTGGATCCGTTCTGGAGAAACTTAATTCACGATGTCAATTATTGGGAAGATTTTAATGTTATTTTTCCTATATTTTGAGTAATTTTTCCCCACTTCTGATCCAGATACAGGGAGTAAAAATGTTTTTGATCCAGAATCCAGGGAGTAAAAATGTTTCTGATCCAGATTCATGTATTGGGTCCAGATCCAGGGAGTAAAAATGTTTTTGATCCAGATTCATGTATTGGGTCCGTGTCCTAGAAGTTTAAAAGGTTGCAGATCCAGATCCTACTGCTTTTAATTACGTCAAATTCTTAATTCACTAATTCAGTTTGTACAAGTATTTATTTACTTTTTATCTATCTATCCGTCCGTCCGTCCGTCCACCTATACATCCATCCATCCACCCATCCTTCCTTCCATCCATCCTTCCATCATGCATCCATCCATTTATCCATTTATCTATTTAACTATTTATCTATTTATCTATTTATCTATTTATCTATTTATCTATTTATCTATTTATCTATTT